TTATTCTGAAAACTCTATTTCAGTTGACAGGTTTGTTTCGGCCATTACACCATAAACTGTGCCCGGCAGTTTGTGATCACGTTTGGTGGCAAAAACAAAGTACTAGCCGAGGTCTAACACGTAAATTTCGCCTATCATAGTGGCTGTGGTTGGCACCAAAAGCCCAATGGCTGGATGATTCGGACCGCAGAGTGTATCATAAAATCGGCAGACCTGCTGTTCAGTGGCGCGGCCGCAAAGACTGTATAATAACGCCAAACCCACGAGTGGAAAAGCCGGCAAAAAGTTCTGGAATAATTGCATTTCGCCGAGCACACACACGTCTGCAATAATCGTGTCGGGCTGAAAGGAAACTGCGAGAGCAATTAAAAATACGGCGGGTGCGTCAGTCATTTTTTGTTGACTTTCGCAGCCCTGCCGCTTGGTTGAATTTTAATTGCACCTAACAGACTCGGCCCGAGTAATTTTGTTTGAAATTCATTAATACAAATGAAGTAGGAGCTGAGAGAGGAAGATAAAAGATAAAAAAACTTCCTTTTTAATTTATTTCATGTTGGTTTTTTACAGTTTTTTTAACCGAGAGAAATGAAGAAACTCAAGGATGGCTCCCTTTTCACACAACTAGCTGATTTTCCGCCTACTTGCTTTTGGGAAAGTTTTTCCGCCTCACAGAGAGAAAAGTAAGAGGAAATCCGACAGGAGGTCATGATTTTTGTATGAAAAAACGCTCCAGGGAGAAAGTTCGCTTCGTATTCTGTAATATAAGTGACTTTTTCCGTGATGAGATTCGTGGAAAACCGTCTCTCTCCCTTTGTCATGAATTTCTTATTATTTTCTAATCAATATTTCCCACGGATGATGGGACAAGTTTTAAATTGGCAAGAATAATTCGCTCTCCGGTCGCACCCCCCGAGCATTATCGGAAACGACGGGTTACCACCGAGGAAGTCTCGTTCTCCGCGCAGACTGAAGTGTTTTATTAATCTCGAGACAAGAAAAAATAGCACAACGAGTTATAGCATAGGAAGTAAACCGTTATGAGCTGCCACAGGACCGTCTGAAATATGGACCGTAAACAAAAACGAGCGAAAAAAGGGGCTACAATTCCAGCACGCCGTTATTGCGTTTAAAAATATGCCACTGGGAAGTAAATTTTGAAGAGAGAGAGGAAACCGGAAAGTTATTGCTGCAGATGTATCAAATTTCTCTGCAGAAGTGACTTTTTATAGCTGTGTAATTAACTGTCTTTCTTTATTATTATTGTTTATTCTACTCTAGTCAATAATAAAAAAAGTATGAAATGAAATGGAAATAAATGAGCAGAAAGGGTTCGGTAACTTTCTTAAAGGTTTGCGAGACGTAAAAAGTAATTAATTTTGAAATGTTCAGATAATTTTAATTTATACTTTTTTATTACTTAATATTAGTCGGGAACTTTTAATAATTTCAAGGCTATGGAGAATGAATTTACATCATTATTTTTAAAATAAAAAAATCCAACCTTATATAATTATTAAAAACTAAAATTATTTGTTTTTTCCTAATTTAGCACACGAAGAAAAATTTTGCTTGAATTCACTTAAATTTTTTTAATATTAATTAATTTAAATAATTTTAATTTTCTTATTAAAAAAATGGTCTGAATTATTTCAGCGATTTGCAATTTTATGGGTTGGAAGTGGCGTTACTTATTTGATCAAATAATTATTTATTTCCGTGACTTATCTGAGAGGCAGGAAATATTGTGTATGCACTCATTTGTAAAAAGGCCCTCTCTTGAAATGATTTTTGTTCTAATAATTCAAAAGGAAAATGACATTTAAAAATTAAGATAATAAATCACAATAAAGACATCACACATTTGAGGGACAAACCAGGATTTTATCAAAGTTTAAACTTCCTCCCCTCCCCTACCCTTCCACAACTCAGCATTTCATAATCTCGTCTTTTGGTTGCTAGATCATTAAATTTTAACAAGGACGCAGGAAATTACTTCTTCTTTACCTGGTAATTGAATCTTCCATTAAGTTGAAAGTGCTTTTGACGGGGAAATAATGTCTCTGGTCGCTCTTTTTCACTCGAGCCTTCTTAATTTTTTTGAATTTCTTCTTGAGAAACAGCTGTGGTGAATGAGTGGTTTGAGCAAACAAAATAAATTCGCCTTCCAACAAGCTACTATTCAAAAGCCAAGCTTGCTTTTGGTCTGTCTCTGCAAACGGGAGCTGCTTTTCCCAGAGCGTCTTTTCAAAGTGACATTTTCACTCTCTTGAGGAAAAACGCTCTCGCGTTTAATATATCTCTTTGAAATAACGAAGTGGGATGAGACGTTCCGTTCCGCGGGGGATGATTTTTTGCAGAGCTCCTGTCGCCGTCGATTTAATTAGTAGAGAGGGAAATTCACCACAGAGTGTGCGGCAAATCAATGATCCTCTCATGCAGTGGCACCAGCCGGGCTTCGCGAGAGGACAAAAGTTTTGCGGCCACAGCGATTATGCAGCACTTTGCCCAAAAGGGTTTGATCTTGTGCAAAGTTGGCTTTAGTGACGCAAATGCGCACGGACAAAAGAGCAACCCGCAGACTCGCTTCGACTGTCAATAAATGAAAGCAAGAAGTAATGCGCGTTCCCCGCACAAAAGTTTTCGACAATGTAAATCTTACAAGTGATTTATTGTTTCTGGACCGGTGAAATGGGCGAGTTTTTTGGCTCAAATTTCATTTTGATTAATTATTTTTAAGTTTAAAGTAAGAAAAAGTTTAAAAAAGCCTTTTCTTGTCACTAATTTTTTTTTTAATCCAGTAATTTGTTAAATAAAATGAAAGTAAAATTTATATCAAAGCAAAATCAAAATGTAATAATAATTAATTAATTGCTTCAATTTTTTTTTGTATAATTTTGCACAGTAGTGGGTTTTCAAATTTTGCAAAAAAGCAATAAAAAAGTTCTAAAATATTCTTTATACTTAAAAATGTCCGCAAGAGTCTTGTTTTGACGCGTAAAATGCATTATTATCTATCTCTTTTACTGTCATTCTCTTTAAATCCATAAAATAACGATTTTCAGGTGAACCACTTTTTTGCTACGAGTGTTGACGCTGTTTGCCTGGCTAGCATAAAACGTTTATCTTGCCCAGACGGCCGCAAGTAAGAGGCGAAGGAAGTCCGATAATTTTTTTCCATAAAGAGAGGGATATGAAATATGACGGAGAGAGGGAAGATGGCTTTTTCATTTGCTTTAATGCCTTCTTCTTTTTATTATCTCTCCCCGTTATAACTTTTTCTGTCGTCACGGAGTTTAAATTTATTCCAAACGGCCTCCATCGAGATCAATTTTTATCATCACCAAAAGTGACTTTTTTGCATCTTCTTTTTTATTTTACTCTGCCCTACTTTTTCCCTTTTCAATTATCGAGAGGAGTGCGAACATGCAGTGAATGCTGTCTGAATCCGAGGAGATGGGGCGTGTGCCCGCCAGCCGATTGTTATTGCGCCGACGGCCTCTTTCTCTCTGCAAAACTGCAGGGGAAAAAGCAACAAATGTTTTCTTTCGATTCCGAGCACGAATCGACGCAGAGCAGAACCGACCCAACTTTTTCACCCTCCATTGTTAAGTTGGCGCGCGCAAGTGTAAAACTTATGCCGATTTGACGAATCTTTCATTCAGGTTGCGGCTTCGAAACTTGCTGTGAAACATCGAGAGCTAACTAATTTGCGCGGACATTCTTTGAGAGCTTTTTGAGTGCTACTTTGTTGCGCGGGGCTTTGATCAGCAGGCATGAAAAATGCGCTAGGCCTTGCGAGGATGCTTTTTGTTACAAAACGAGCTTTGAGCCCAACATCTTGAATTGCCGCTCAAGGAATTTCATCTGATAAAAAGTCTGCCTTTATTTGAAATGTGCAATAAATCTTCACATTCCTATTTTGTAAACAGCTTTTTACTTCGGATATTTTTTTAGTGTCTGCCGAAATCATATTCAATGTCAAGATCGGCACAAAGGAAAACTAAATGAGGAATTCTTCAGTAATGATTTTCATACTTGAATTCAAAGTATGAAAATACCATGACTGCGATAGTGATTTAAAAAAAATTTGTACTCAATCTTAGATTGGAATTAACCTCCCCCCTCCCCCCGTACTCCCACAAATAAATTGGATGAGATGTTCCCCCATTGATTAATGCTAGATTTAAAATTAGTTTTCATTTCATAATTATTATATTAATAATTAAATTATGTATTTTATTGTGATTAATGGATTTTAATAATGGATGAATATTCGCGTGTGATAATTTATTTCTTATTTTTGCTTTTTTTTTTAAATGTTAAAATCTGAACCTGTTGGATACACCTTGACTGATGAAAACTATTTTTCTCCAACAAAAAGGTTTCTGTTAACAATTTGTCTCAACTTTTATGGGGAAAAGTCCAGGTCCAACTTGGTTTTTGGTAGAAAACTCTAAAACTGTTCTTATAAATAATCTAAATGAAATTCTGTTAAAATATTTTAATTAACGGCATTTGAATTTTTTATTTTATTGTTATTTAACTGGTGAAGGCAAACACTCTTGAAATGGAAGTAAAAGTTTTTGTAAAAATCTTATTAAGTTCAAAAAATTATCCGTTCAAGAAAAAAAAGTCGTTTTGTATATTTTGAATCACCATTTCGAAAAAGATTCCCCATCAGAATTTATTATTTGAGTGAAATAGTCATAATTTTAAAAAAAACTGACTTTTTAACCAATGGAACCTGATCAAAGTTCTTTAAATTGACAAAGAGAAACAATTGCAAGGAAAGGTACAATAAACACTGCAGCTCATTATTTCCGTTATCAAAAACACGTTCAAGTTTTGTTCTAATTATTACTGGAAGCTGAATTCGCGTGTCGCCTACATCTGCATTTGTACTTTCTCTCTCAATTTGCACGAACGTCCACTTGTTGGCGTTCCGACGGTGTTAAGAGGTGCCATTAATTAATCTTCGGCTGACGCGTTCTTGTTCGCAGATGGATGGAGAAAAGTGGAGTGGCAGCAACGACTCTGGCAACACGACGGGCGGCCCTTGGTGGCACGACTACGACGAGGGCGAGCAGTACATTTTCCATCGCAACGACGTCTTCTACAGCTTCCTCACCGCCTACTTGTTGGTCGCCGTGCTTGCAGTTTTCGGTGAGTGCTTTATTTTACCTTTTTTTTCCCAGCGCCGATTTTCAAAAAGAGACTTTTTGCCCAAATTCGAGACAAATGATGAATCGCGCCGCGGCAAAAAATCCCGCGAGAGGAAATCTGAGAAAAGCAGAGTTTTGTCAGTCTATTTGAAACGGATGATTGATGGACCCGGCAGGGGTTGAAATTCGCCTCGTTCGGAGGAGGAAAAGCGTGATTTATGGCCGTTATTAAATTATACAAGCTCCAACTAACAAAAAGGCAATTTCCCTGTCTTTTTGCTTACCCAATTTTAAAAACATCGAATCGGAAAAATTGAAGGGTATGATACGAATTTTCCAGCTGAAAATTTCCAGTTAATTCGCCTCCCAGTCTTAATAGGTTTATGCAACCCGATGAATATTTTTTACAAGAAAAACCTTTTCCCGAGTGATTTGACAACAATTTATTTCCCTATCGTTTAAAGGGCATTTCATAGGATTCGCTTATCCTTAAAGTATAGTATTATTTTTGTGTGGAACTCATTTGATTTTTTTTTAATTTTCACTTAAAATTAATTGAAATATTATTAAATCAATATTATTAGTCTGCTGGCAAAAGAAAAGTCCAGCTTTCCTTCAAATTTAATTACGAAAAACGCTTCGGTTTCCGTTTGAAAGTTTTTGATGAAAATTAATCATTATCTTGATTGTTGATTTTTCAACATCAATAAGGGTGGGAAAGTTTATCATTCGATGGATTCAATATAAATAATTGCTTTCCCTCCCTCGGTGGCAGTGCTGATTAATGCAATTCTTTTGTTCAAATAAATGTGTTCCGCCGCCATCATCTTTTTCCTGCTAATTCGCTTATATTGTTCAAAGCCAACGGGAAACGACGGACCGCTTGTTTTCGCCGCCCTTTCATGCCGAATTTCTCCATCTCTCTTTGGAGGAGATTAATTTTGCGCGACCGAATTTCGTTCTTCCTACCTTCCATTGTGCGCCTTGCAGTCTGCGCGCTTGATTAAATATCTTCAAAAATCTTGCCGAGCTCCGATGAAATATATCAGACCGAGACTTGATTAAATTCTCTGTTCCAAAACAAGCCGCGGCTGAATTTAATCTCGCGGAAATTTTTGCTGCCAAACTTAATTAAAGTGCTCTAAACACCCCTTTTGTTAAACCACACTTTGCCATTACCATAATGAGGTCACTTTCGGGAATAATCGGATGTGATGAGGGGTGACGTGGGTTTTGCAGTTCAAATTAGATAAAATAAATACCAAATGGCGCGGTATCTGGAGTGTTAATTTTACTAATGCACATTGTTAAGCGCGTTTGCAGTGGCTACATTTTGCCTTTGCGATTTAATACTGATGTTTAATTATCGGATGGCATGTGCGTTCAATGTAATTGCAATAATAATTAACTTTGATTTAACTTGTTCGATGGCTAGGTTTAATAATGTGTTATTCTGCAATGCTCATAAATTTGAGTGAAAAAGCTCTGACTGAATTTTCGGGTTCGGAAAATGTTAAAATATTATCCAGTTGACATAGAAAAGAAATTAAGGAAAGTATGGTTTAAAAGTTCAAATAAAATGATAATAATGGTTAATTAAAACAGCCACTACTTAAAAAGTTAAAAGATATAATTGAATTTTATATTTAATGGCGATTATTATAAAATTTTTTAGCTATCCATGCTATGCATCAAACAAATCGTTGGCCTCTTTAACCCAAAACCAAGAAAAACTTTTATTTATTAGATTTTACTTAAAAAAAATCTTATAATATATATCAAATTAATTTATTACTTAATTTTTATCAAAAAATCGTGTATTTAAACGTAATTGAAGAAGAGTTGTTAAAAAGTGCTGCATAAATAATTTTTCAAGTAATTTACTTTTGAAATATATTAGAGACATAAGTGTAATTTTTAATTATTTTTAGAAAGACAATATATTATAATATGAAAATATATAATGAATTTTTACTTGAATCGTTTGGTATATTTGCTCAGAAAGCAGTCTTCTGTTGGTCACACTGGCGGATCGGTCGTAAAATTGGCTGAGCCTCATCTCTCTTTTAAAGAGAGACACGATAAATTTAACGACGGACCGTAATTTCAGTTAGAACCCGAGGTCAGCCACCGTATGTGTGCCGCTTCTCATAAACCAGGAACAAATTATCTTTTCAACCGTGAGTTACGGCCAAGTGGTCGGCGCGAGAATGGCGCTTGCACCACTCCTGGACCAGCTGCGTTCGAGGACAACATTGTTGCATCTCTCTGAGCTTGCAGTGAAGACTAGGAGTGTTTTAATGCAAATAATTTCACACACGGCTGTGCGCTTGGTCGCTCCAACTGTGCCTCGCTGCGGGCGGCAAAAGACGCTAGGCAGCGAGAGAATTGCGAACATTTCATGCGGTCGGGTTTTTGCTCGTTTCATACATTTGTTCGCTTGTGGTTCCTTTTGATTTATAACAAATGGTAGCCGCTGCACGAGACCGAGAGAGTGAGAACTTTCTAAAGCAAAAATTTAAATTTGCACTCTTATTTAGAATATATATTTTTTTTTAAATTCTTGTTCATTTCCCCAAGTTTTAAGTAAACAATTTTAATTGAAAGAAAAGAAATTGTTGGGATGGGAAATATGGAACTTTTGACCAATAAGGCACCTACTTCAGCAAAGATTTTGCTAAATCTTCAAATATCAAAGAGACTCCCCCAGTAATACAGATTTTATAATTTGTAAAACGAAATTGAATAAATTTAATAGGTTGCCAGCTTATTATTATTATTTTTTTTAATTTCTTTTTATAAATCTGTAATTCAGTTTTCTTTATTTCTGTAAAGTAAAACAAGTGTTCATTAATATATTAAAGAAATTAATTTTTTTTACGATTCCAATAATTTTAAATTTAAATTAAGTTAAATAAATTTGTATCAAGCTGGTTGACATATTCTGACGTTGCAAGATCAAAGAGACTTTTGCGGATAAATCAAATTCATAGAATTCCTGCTCCTCAATTAATTTCCATTTGCACGATTATTTGAATTGTATTTGTGCATCAAATTGAGAGAGTTCTGTGCGCAAATAGTGTCAAAGCAAACTGCAATAGTAAACTTACAATTAGTATTGCTCTGTGCGTGTTTACAAGAGCATGCTTTTACGGTCTCTTGTGTTTAATGTCGCATCGTGATTTCGCATTTTCTGCCTGTCAAATATGTACATAGTCAATTAGAGCAAGAATTAGCCGCGTGGAAGCTGACGGAAATTCTCGTTTTTCCTTTGTTTAACGACCAGAAGTTCATTAGTCATAACATAAGTCTTTTGTTTCGCTCCTCTTTTCTGCTTCTAAATAATTACTTTCAAACGCGAAACCTGAGAATGAGAATGAGTTAATTAATGCAAATTACACGAGTAAAGCAGAGACAAATTGAAATTAAAGAGGATTAAATCCTATTAACTGCATTGCAGAGTCAGGTGTATAATCTTTTTCTCTCCAAAATTTTTATTTTTTTTTTCTGTGAAGTTTTCAATCACTGAATACTTAATGCAGCTTACAAAAAGTTTTTGTATAATTATTTCAAAGTTAAGTTGCTAATTTAATTATACTAATTATGCAACCAGAATGCATAAGTGCCAAGCCGGTTGCATACCTCCTTCTATTTAAACTGGTCAAAGAAACAAAAATACGTAATAATGAAGTTTTTAAGACGAGTGAAAAATCTTTTAGGCTAATTTGAAAAAAAAATGTTATTCCCAAAAGGTCTCATTGTCAGATAAATTTATTTTTAATAATCTCTCTAGTCTATACCAAACCTGAACTGGAATTAAATAAATAAACGTGGGATTAATTGAACACTACAAAGAAAAATTAAATTAATTATTGAAACCGATAAATTTTATATTAATTACCAAACAGTTTCACAATCAGCTTTTCCAACCACGTTCAATTGTTCAGACTCTTGTTTATTTGATGAGCAAAGTCGAGTTGCACACACAGAGAATAACATTTGATGTCATCAGCACAGTTAATTAATTTTTTCTAATGGCATTAATGAATGTAATCGCAACATGCAAATATATTCCAGAGATAATAAACCGCATTCAATTATACTCGCGATGGCTGATCGATTCCGAATGTCTCTTTGTTTCACGGGCGGGCGCGCGTGAAACCAATCCATTCAAAATCGCCGATCCAATTATTTCGGAACGAGCCGTGCTCTCTGGATTAGTATGTTGTGCGGTTTGACTGGCAAATTTGCCACCGGCGGCGCACATTATTAATTTCCAACGGCAAAAACACATGGCAGCAATAAAAGCGGCGCGCGATAAATAATGAATCGCTGATTGTTTTCCGTCTCTGTACATATTTTCGAGGGCATGTGCTATTTGTATGCGGAACACTACATGTGTGGCAGAGCGGTTTATTGATATTGTGTTGTTTAACGCGCCGACAGCAGTTGCTGTGCGAAACTATATAAAAAAATGAAAACAGAAACGCCCGGTATGAAAGTGAATTGCGGAGGCCGAAAATGGAATTATATCGCTAAAATGTATTCAGACCAGTGGCGCAGTGGGACCGGATCGTGCGCTACATTTGGCTGGAAAATGTGTTGGGATGCTCGGTGAATTTATAACGAATAGGATTTCACTTATTGTATACCTTTTTTTTTCAAATGAAAGCTGGAAAGCTTATTTTTCTTTTAAGTGCTTTCCTTTATCATTTTGTTCCAAAAGTTTCAACATATGAAAATTTTTTAATTTTGCTGCAAAAGTTTGATTATAATTTAATTACGCTTTGTATGATGTTTTTTAAATAAAAAAATTTGTGATACGTCGTGTTGGCAAGATTTCAAAATTTCATAGGGAAAATTCGATTTGTTTAGCTCACGTTTCAGCTTATTCTATTTGTAAAAAAAATTCCCTCACGTCTCGATTCATTGCTTAAAAATAATAAAGTAAACAATTTTGTGAAACCTTTGCTCTAGAATTTTAAACATATCAAGGTCTTG